ACGGCGCCCTGTCGTTGGGTGCGCCATTAGAGCGGCGGCGGAGGGCACCGCTCCCTCTACGGCGGCGTCTCGCAGTGGCGGCGACGGCCGGCAGCATCACACAAAGCGACGTCGCGCCCGGCCATGTTTTATTCAGGCGCGTCACCGCGTTCACGCGCCGCGCCTCTCGGGCGAGCCGCGGCCCCCCGAGGCGACGGGCGGGCGCGACCACACTCGGCAGCTGCGATCGACAGTTCAGCAGCCGCCGTCAAGACCGATGGTTCAGCAGCTGCCAGCGAGGACGGCCGGTAATAGGCTGCGATTAGAGCGGCGGTCTAGAAGTTGCGAACGAAACGCGACCCCGAACGACATCGCGGCAGCTGGGGCGTGGGAGCAACAGCCTCAGCAGCTGCCGTCAGCAGCTGGTGACCGGTCAGCAGCTTCATATGGGCGGCCCGCTCTTCGATGGAGCCTTCCGGTCCCTAAGACGGTGGTTGGACGTGGTGATCCGAGTTTGTAGTTCGATCATACAATCAGCATTTCATTTCACACAATCAGCCATGATCAGCCAACGTATTCAATCAAGAAATCGCGGTTTAAATGCCGGCGTCATCTGCGTCAATCCGAGCTGCCAAGGTCAAGGGCAGTTATTACGAATGTTCGCGTATTCAGGTTTTCAAGCATTTAGAACTTGAGAATATTCTGGCAATCAGGGGTCAGCAACGTCAGAAAAGGTGGGAGCAAAGCACAGCCGCTTGCAGGGTTCATGTCAGACGTTCACAAAAAGTGTGAGGCGGGTGCTTCCTTGCCATCGCTCTCCTACGCCTGCGCTGATACGACGTGGCAGACGACTCAGCATACTGATACGGCTAGGCGGCTCAGTCCTAATTCATAACCAGGACGGCAACCGGCTCGTAAACCCGGGCCACGGCGCCGCAGGTCATAAGTTTGGCCAGATTCCCCGCACTCCCAGGGGCCCGTCTCGGCAAACAGACGGACGACCGTTCGACCACAGATTACTGCCCTGAAATGTGATGCTTTCACTGGATATTTGCCCGGCATGATTTCGCCTGGCATGCCGATTTCCAACAGCGGAGATAAGGTTTGCAATTCCCTAAGTTTTCCTACTGGGGGAACTACCAACAAGGGCAATAAGAACATAGCCGAAGCTTGGCTTGCATCTGTTTACACGCCGATGCGCCGCCCGGTATCCGTGTTTTCTGTCGCCCGCCCTCCCCCTCCAGTATCCGCGCACGCTGGCTGCGGGCATGCGTTTTCTGTTGATCCGGATTCGCCCCGAGCTCGTCAGGGCGTGCCGACCATGGATTATCGGGCGTCAGAGTGGCATTAGCGTGAGATGCCGTCCTGATGTGCTCTGAAGCAGAGCGTCAGAGTGGCGTTAGCGTGAGATGCCGTCCTGATGTGCTCTGAAGCAGAGCGTCAGAGTGGCGTTAGCGTGAGATGCCGTCCTGATGTGCTCTGAAGCAGAGCGTCAGAGTGGCGTTAGCGTGAGATGCCGTCCTGGCGTGCTCTGAAGCAGAGCGTCAGTGTGACACTAGTGTGGGAGTCGTCCTGACGTGTTCTGAAGCAGAGCGTCTGAGCGGCATTAGCGTGAGATGCCGTCCTGATGTGCTCTGAAGCAGGGCGTCAGAGTGGCATTAGCGTGAGATGCCGTCCTGACGTGCTCTGAAGCAGGGCGTCAGAGTGGCATTAGCGTGAGATGCCGTCCTGACGTGCTCTGAAGCAGAGCGTCAGAGTGGCATTAGCGTGAGATGCCGTCCTGACGTGCTCTGAAGCAGAGCGTCAGAGTCAGAGGCGCAGTAGGCGGAGGCGCGCCGGCGGACGACGCAGTGTGTCATCGAGGTCGAATGCAAAATGGCTGTAGACAGCTGCAACTGTAGACGGCACCTATAGAAACACTACACAGATATCAGCTTATCGCACTGGCCATCAATGCCCGTCTTACTTCCTGCTGAACATTTTCATCAAAATGCGTGACTTAAACTGATAACAAACTCCTCCATACATTATCAAGCGTACAGCACTGTTTCCGAAGGAAAGACAGTTGTAAAAAAAACAAAAGGAAAGCGAGTATTTATAAACATATATGCATATACATCCCCGTCTCACACACACACGCAGAGAGAGAGAGAGAGAGAGGAGAGAGAGAGAGGAGAGAGAGAGAGAGCGAGAGAGGCGAGAGAGGAGAGGAGAGAGAGGAGAGAGGAGAGGAGAGAGAGAGAGGAGAGAGAGAGAGAGAGAGAGAGAGAGAGATATATATATATATATATATATATATATATATATATATATATATATAAATATACATGCATGTTTGTGTTTGCTCTTGACTATGGACCTATAAGGGAGAAAATTCGCCTGGACTAAACTCATTACCTACGGGACGTTGGCGCCACACCTCTGTTCATAACTGATACGTTCTTAGGTGTAGGAACAGTGGTGGGGGCCAGAGAGCTTCACCCTTTTCAAAAACATTTAACATTAACCCTATGTCGATGCATAAGAAGAATATGCTGAAAAATCCATATTGTTCGTGCTCCCCCTTTCTGCAACGTTTCTAGGCCTCTACAGGTTCCTGTACAGGTTCCCGTTCCTGTACTACAGTTTTCTGGCACGGATTTGTTGGGTGCGAGTGCCTAATGGACTGTCATCATAATATTGCCTCGCTATCTTGAAAACAAAACCCTCTTGTACCTTACTGAAGTGTAGGTGGTGGCTGATTCATGGCCAGCGTATGGTTTGCACCAAAGATAACCATGCGTGCTGCTTGCTGATGCTTGTTTCAACTACCATGAGTCGCCTTTTCCGTCATGAAATGCTCTGATGCCGAAAACAAGGATTTCGGTAAATCCCGGCTACCTGAAAAACGACTACACCTTACAGAACAAATGCACGTGCATTGACACCATGGCATATTCGTAATGCGTTTGGTGTGAATGCACCATTCAGAACCGAGCAGCCAGGATCCTCAGAGCCGAGTGCTCCCTGACGGACGGCTACTGACAGAGAAGCCGACAGTAGCTCTCGGCCTAATTTTCGTCTACAGACTCTGCCGTTTTATCCGGAATTTAATCAGGGTCCCATTTGAATTCGCCCCGTGCTGCAGTGGCCCTTGATTCGGCCGCCGCTGATTTGAGATACAGCGCAGGCTCAATTCTTTTCGTTTGGACCGCTTCACAGCGAGAATCAAGAGCTGTGAGATAATTAAGGTCGTCGACAGACGCCGAGAGGGTTTCTAGACACCGACGTGCCCCGCCGTCTCGGAAATGGCCGAAAACAAGAACTTAACCGCCATTTGAGTCCAGCAAAACTGTACGACCTTTCATCACGTGCATATGCATGTGCTTATGCGCTTCAGGCATATGCGTGGATCGTGGATATATGTGTTCTGTTCCCTGAATAATTAGTCAAGTACAGCTCTAAGATAATAGCAGTCAACAAGGCTGTCTAATGGTGGAGAAGTGGTCAAAGGATCCCAGAGGGAAAATGAATGGTTATTTTCATTTGTGCTATAGCACACAGGCTGCTTTGCGTGTGGTACCAGTTCTAACGCACGTGTGGCCTAATACTGTGACCTTCGTGGTTCGCTCAATAAAAAAGTATTGGACAAACTGCAGTCAGGTACGAATGTCTAATATGGCTTTCGTGACGCCGCGATACACTTGAGTTTCGGTTTGACGTGAGCCGGACACGTCCTACCCTGAGCACGGCGGGCCGACGCCCTCAGCGTGACGCTCGTGATTACACACACTGCTAGCTGCCCGTAAATTCTGTGAATAACGAATTGTGAATAAAGCGTTGCAGTAGGAATATTCCAGAACTGTCGTGCGTCACGTTCAGGCTGATTGGTATATTTCTGTCATGCCTGCTTACTTCCTCTACCTTACTCCTGCGATATAGTGTGTGAATAGCGCATTTGAGCAGCACCTCAGTTAGCTTAGTTAATGGTTCAACTAAAGATTTGCAAGCTTAATGACGATGACCAGAAATTTCCCGGCAGATGTGAGGCAATTCCCTATCATTTATTATCTCATTTAATCATCGTGGCAGATGTGCGGCATCATATCCATTATAATGCAATTATCATGCCCGCAACAACAAGATTAGTCACCGGCACCAAGGACGTGCGGTTGGCTGACATGCCTGGCAATTCTTCCTGCCATTCAAAATCTTCGGGAGGCTACCAAGAGCGTTACCACACGTGTTGGGCTTCGGCTGCGGGATCTCGTCACGTCGTGATATTTGTTGGGGCTTCGGCTCCGGAACCTCGTCACGCCGTGATATTTGTTGGGGCTTCGGCTTCGGGATCTCGTCACGCCGTGATATTTGTTGCGGCTTCGGCTCCGGGATCTCGTCACGCCGTGATATTTGTTGTGGCTTCCGCCCCGGGACCTCGTCACGCCGTGATATCTCCGCCGACATCGCGCTGACCTGTCCAAGGCTCTCGATCAGCTGCGGCGGCGGTCATCAGTGCAACAGGCGTCCGTATGGCGCGCACTCTCTGTTTCATCGAGCTTCAGTCGGTCTATATTGCTGGAGGATCACTAAGTGAGATGAAATGGAAACATGGGCGCAGCATTTCGATTAAGTAGGGTCAGATAATTTATCTGCTTTCAGAAAATTGTCGGGCTAGCAGGAAGAGGTGGCATTGCGCCAAGTATAAGCAATAAGATAGATGATATAGTAATGAGATTACGTAAGGTAAAATACGGTGAAGTAAGGAGAACAGGGACCGATTATGACGGTGTGCGTCTGAGGATTTCAAGTCGCAACAATAGTTGATCTAGTACTACGTTGCCTTACGGGATGTTTGGTGAGTGGGTGCAACCCCATTTTGTGGAGGCAAAGTCTAAACGGTGTCCTGACGTTTGAAAGTTTCACTGTTTTGCTTCCCTATATCCCAAGGAGAGCACTAAATCAAACAAGTTTCTCCCAGTAAACGTCGCTTAGATGTTTTTCAATGTCCAGTAATGAGCTCTTTTTTGCTCGGTTTTGGCATCATGGGGGTAACACTCCTGGTTACCCCTCACCTGAATTCGCCCCCAGGCGGCAAACGGGACCACGGCGTCGAGGTGGCCTCGGCGGCCGCGGCCCGTCGCGGTCGGCGCCTCGCTCCCGGAGGGGGGAGGGGAGGCATGTTGCGACGTTCCTCCACGTCACGGCCGACGTCCGTCGACGTCCCTCCACGTCTCGGTCGGCCGCGTCGGCGGCGGGTCCGACGCACCCGGGCCTGGCCGCACATCCCGCTGCCGGAAAGCCGGCACTTCTTCGGTCCGCTGGCGGCCGCGTGCGAGACAGTGGCTGAGCAGCGCTTTGTCGACGCCGGCCAGCTCCGCAATGGGCCGGTTATATGTCCGCACGGGTGTTCGTGGAGGTTCTGGCATTTCTTGAGAAATTTGGGTTGATGATCGCCACGTGTTCATACGAAAGTGTAACCACTCCCTCGCCTATTTTTAAACAGATGCGTTGAAGACCTTCTAACTAGATATGGTTAGTCATCATTTGGCGGCTACGCCGCAGGGAAAATAGTTCTGGTGTCAATGCCCAAATATATATTGTTGCATACTTAATCTTTGTTACGGTGCATCACTGTCTAGCCTCATGCCCCTTCCCGATGTCGTTTTTTTGGGAGGGGGGGGGGGGGGGCGCGTCATATGTCATCCCCATCTGTAGTCTGATCGCCATTCCTGTCCGTGATGTGGGCGTCATCGCCGTCTATCTGGTCTAGTCCGTTTGTTAGCCTCGTTATGGTGTCCATTTTCATTTCTGCTTGCCTATTCTTAACTAGCCGTAACAGAACGCTAACACTCATCATGTCTCAAGCTAATGCTTTGTAAAACTTGGACAGTCGGACGCGCCGACTAAAACGGTTTCTACCCGGTTTCGTCTCACGTAATGACATCTTGCTGGGCCATGCATTATTTTGGCTAGCACTCGGCCCCTATGCACACAGCTGCTTCCAATATTCCCACTGCTATCCACTCCGCACCGTCAGCACCAGCATGTCCGGTCACTTCGTCCGTCGCTGCGCCGCGGTCCACACGTGCCCCTCATCTCATCGTCCGTCCCCGTTGCAGGTGCGCAATGGCCGAGCGCGGCGCGCAGCCCGGCCCGGCCGACTAGTATGTGGTGTCTCCGCGTGGCGGCGCTGCTCTGTGTGACCTGGCCGGCCGCGCGCGCGTGCCCGCCGCCTGAACGTCAGGGCCGCTGCCCCTGCTACGACTTCGACGGCGGCGTGTTCGTCGACTGCAACGCCGTGGACGCGGCGGCGGTGGGCGCGGCGCTGGCGCTGATCGCCGCGCCGGTCAAGTCGCTGCGCGTGTACGAGCTGGACGCAGCCGTGGTCGAGCTGCCAGTGGGCTTTCTCGGCAACGGCAGCGTGCAGGAGCTGCAGATCTCGCAGTCGGCGCTGCAGCGGCTGCACGCGGACAGCCTGGCCGGCGGCGGCGCGGCGCTGCGCAGCGTGGCGCTGGTGCGGGGCCAGCTCAGCACCGTGCCGCGGCCGGCGCTGGAGAAGCTGTCGCAGCTCGCCAAGCTGGACCTCGAGAGCAACAAGATCCGCCAGTTGGAGAGCTACGAGCTGCACGGGCTGAGCCTGGTCGCGCTCAACCTCAAGAGCAACGGCCTGGAGAGCGTCAGCGAGTACGCGTTCGCCGGCCTCGAGGACTCGCTGGTCGACCTGAACGTCGCCAAAAACCGGCTGACGCTGTTCCCGCTAAGCGCCCTGCGCCGCCTCAACGCGCTCGCCACACTCAACCTCGGCTCGAACCGGATCGACACGATCGCGCACGACGGCTACAGCCGGTTCGAGCGGCTGGAGACGTTGCAACTGAGCGATAACCAGTTCGGCGCCATCGGCGCGAGCACGCTGACCGCCTTCCCGGCGCTGCGGCGGTTGACGCTTCACCACAACAGTGTTTCGGAGGTGGATGAGGCGGCGTTCGCCGTCAGCCGCCGGCTGGAGGCGCTCGACCTGAGCCACAACCGGTTGCGCGCGCTGCCGGCGCGGCTCTTCGCCAGCTGCCACGCGCTCAAGACGGTCGACCTGAGCGGTAACCACTTGCACCAGGTGCCGGACAGCCTGTTTGCCGACCACCCCGACCTGAGGGAGGTCTTTTTAGCGGACAACAACCTGCTGCAGGTCACCAACCTGACCTTCGGCAACGCCTCGCGAATCACCGTGCTGCACCTACAGAACAACGCTATCGCGCAGCTGGAGGCGGGCGCATTCGCCTCGCTCGCGCAGCTCTCGCAGTTGCATCTAAACCACAACCAGATCGCGAGCCTTCCGGCCGGAGTGTTCAACGCCACCAAGGGCCTGACTGTGCTCAGCCTGGACGGCAACCTTCTCAGCGAGCTGCCCGTGCGCGTGTTCGCGCAGTTGACCAACATCCGCGAACTCCGACTGCAGAACAACCGGCTGTCGGCCGTGCGCTCCGACGATTTCTCGTCTCTCTCCAGCCTGCAGGAGCTGCACCTGCAGCAGAACCGGCTGAGCGCGGTCGGCGTGGCCGCATTCGTCGGCCTGCACAACCTGCAGCACCTCAACCTGCAGGGCAACCGCGTGCGCCAGCTGGGGCGCGTGTTCAGCGGCACCCCTACGAACCTGATCTCGCTGCAGCTGGACGCGAATGCGCTGACCGGGCTGGCGGACGGTATGCTACGCGACCTGGCCGTGCTCGAGATCCTCTGGCTGAACGGCAACACGATCGCGTACCTGCCGGCGGCGGCGCTGGCCGACCTGGCTGGTCTGCGCACGCTCTATCTGCAGGACAACCTGCTGGGCGAGCTCCTGAACGGCACGTTCACCTCCTGTTCCAGCCTCACGGTACTCGACCTCAGCCGCAACAAGCTGCGGCGGCTCGACCGCTTCAGCTTCGGCGGGCTGACGAGCCTCGAGCGGCTCGACCTGTCCGGCAACGCTATCATGGACATCGCGCCCCGCACCTTCGAGGCACTCACCGCGCTGCGGGAGCTGGACCTGAGCGACAACGAGATCCCGGTGGCGCACCGCTTCATGTTCGAGGGCGGTGTGCCGTTGCGCCACCTCGCGCTGCGCTCGTGCTCGATCACGCGCGTCGAGGAGGGCACGTTCCAAGACCTGCCGCAGCTGGAGGAGCTGGACCTGCGGGACAACATGCTGGAGAAGCTAGTGCTCGGCTTCATGTGGGTGTCGACGCTCAAGTGGCTCTCCGTGTCTTTCAACAACGTGCGCGAGCTGGACCGCAGCGTCTACCACGGCGTGCCGCTGCTCGAGACGCTCGAGATGGAAAAGATGAACCTCAACAGCGTGTTCATCAACCTTGTGGCGGACAACACAAACATTCGTGTGATCAAACTAGGGTTCAACAAACTGTCGCACATCGACCCGGTCTTTTTCGAAAACCTGGTGGTGCTTCGCGAGTTGCATTTAAATTTTAACCTTTTTAAAAGTGTGTCGTTTCCCGCGCTCCGCAGCTTGGAGGTGCTCAACCTGACTCACAATCGGCTCTCGGAGCTGACCGACCTGTCTGTGCGCGGCCTGAGCGGGCTCCAGGTGCTAGACCTGTCACACAACGCCATCGTGCGCGTCTCGCCGCGGCCGTTTGCCAACCTGACGCGGCTGCGCACGCTGCTGCTGCAGCACAACCTGCTGAAGGTGGTGACGCCGGGCAGCTTCTACCGGGCGCCGCTGGTGACGCTCAACCTGGCCTTCAACCAGTTCGACATGGTGCCGCTCTTCGTGACGGCCGACTCGCTCGACGCGCTGCGCAGCCTCAACCTGACGGGTAACCCGCTGCGGCGGCTGCTCAGCGAGGAGCAGCGCAACGGCGCGCGGCTGCCGTCGCTGGAGGAGCTGACCGCCTGCGGCACGGCCGTGGCCAACATCGCCTCCGACGACCTGGGCGTGTTCCCGGGGCTGCGCGCGCTGCGCCTGTGCGGCGGCCGCGTGGCGCGCGTGTCGCCGGGCGCGTTCCGCGCGCTGCCGCGCCTGGCCAGTCTCGACCTGAGCCGGAACCAGCTGGAGCTGCTGCCGGCCGAACGGCTGCGTGGCCTCATCGCTCTGCGCCGGCTCAACCTCAGCGGCAACGCGCTGCGCCAGCTGGACCGGCTTCCGGCCGACGTTGCCGACCTAGTCTCGCTCGACCTCAGCGGAAACGCGCTCAGCGCACTGCCCGCCGAAGCGCTGGCGGCCGCGCCGCAGCTGCTGCAGCTGCGGCTGGCCGGCAACCAGCTGCAGCGGCTGGACGCCGACAGCCTGGCCGGACTGCGGCGGCTGCAGCTGCTGGATCTGGCCGACAACAGCCTGCGGCGGCTGCCGCTGCAGCTGCTCGCCGGCGCCGAGATCCGACTCAAGTCCATCTCACTGACAGGTTAGTCGGCCCTGTAGGAATAAAGTCCCCCAGGCCTCTGGCAACGGGCAGCAGCCGGCGGTAATGTATAAATTGGACTGGATGGGCTGTTCCACGGATAGTACTCTGATAACTTCCCGCAGAGTACGATATGAAGCCGTCGGTTTTATAGTCTAAAACCCAGAGCCATTGTTAGCTGTTTTGGAATGATCGATCCTTTTCGGTGTGGTGGTCCTTCACGATCTTCAAACGTCACTTCTTCTCCGCCATATCCATAATGTTCAAACCATAATGTTTCCTTGTCATGCCCCTCTTCATGCTTTGAGAGTCGATAAGTTGGCTTAGTTTGTTTTCAACCGCCAATCGCTTGAATTTATTTCCACTGTATCGAATACTCCGTTCTAAATCTGATCTACCCGCGGACCTAAAGGCTGCCCGCGGAAACGTTCTGGAGCCGAAGCATACCGTCCCCAAAGTATGACGTCACTTTTTTTCGTAAAGTATGACGTCACGTTATTGGAAGTGGGAAGCGTCTGTGTCTCTTAGATGGTGTCGTGGTCCTGTTCGAACGAGTGTTCCTATGCTGCGCCAGCAGAGCTCCCATTCCAATTTGCAAACTGGACGGAGTAGCGTATAACTCAAGCTCAAATAAAGGATCATACAAGCGGAAGGTTTCAACGATTCCAGTGCATAATCCAAACTCGGCGCGATAGGAACATTTTTCACCCGAAAGTACATCCAAACCCAAAGTTATGCATTGATAGTGAAATAATCAGATTAAAATCACATGCAGCTGAGCTGCCGGCCTCAACATTGGCGTGGCGTTAATAAAGTGGAAAATTCCGCTATCTAATTTCCCGAAGCCCCTCTTGAATGGCGCCGCGCTATGCTGCAGACCTCATTCTGCCACTCTGCGAGTCTAAATGGAGCTGAACGCGTCCCGGTGGACGATGCAACCCTATGATAGTCCGCGATGCCAATGCAGGGACGTGGGTCCAAGTCCGGATGTTAGGCGAGGCCCTGGGGTCGCGGCCGAGGCGAGCGTTCGCTCCTTTGTCCTCAGAGTTCTGGACGGCACTCGGTAGGGCCTGCGATGCTATCAATCCCGCTGATGTTAATAGGAGACGGCGTCGAGGACCTGATACTGCTGAATGATAGCGCCGTCGCCAGAGGGCCGAATTAGAGGGCTGGGTCGGTTGCAAACTTATTCAGCGCCGCATTGCTGCACGGAGGCTTTAAGTGCTCCGGTGAGCTCCGGTGGACCCAATGCATGCTACCACATGGCGTGACGCAAAGAGGAGATGGGGAGAGATGAAACACTTGGCGAACACTGTGTTGAATCCGCGCAGGAGTTTATTACTTCATTTAGGATGTGCGTTCTCTGTGGCTCCTCCACTGCCATGACCAATATCACTGGGCTGTTCTCGGGCCCAAGTGATATGTAGGGCCCAAGGGTAAATGAGTGAGTTCGGACGAAAAAAGTCGAGCGACAAATAGTCGGCAGGGCTAAAATTCGAGCCGAAAAAGTGGAAGGACAGCAAGGCTAAACGTCGACAGAGAAAAAATCGTGTCAGGAAAAGTCGACGGGCAAAGAACCAGCAAGGAAGATATAGTGTTAGAGCGCGCTCCGTATGGTTCGGCTGTGAACGCTCGAAGGCTGGCTCCTTATTAGGGGCGTTCGCCGGGCGAGTACGGATGGACCCAAAAGAGAGGACCTAGGGATGCAAGGCAGCGGGGCCCATTGAATCCACGGACACATCCAAGAGCAGCCGGAAACCTTCCTTCCCTTCCCCCTTGTGCCAGATGTCCAATCAGGAGGACCCGTGGTCTACCTGTTGGGTTCTCGGGACTACGTGCTTTTATTTTAATCCCAGTCTACCTTTATCCATCGTGAAGATTCGTCCGTTCCAATTTTTTCTACGCTGACTTTCATGCCCGTCGATTTTATCTCTTTCTACATTTTGCGATTTGAGTTCCATCCTAGTGCGCTAGTTACCTGTTAAAGAATTTTCCAGTAGTTTGCCCCGGTCGACTTTTATCTCTTTGACGTTTTGCGACTTGACTTATCCTTTACTACTTTTTTGGACTAGCTTTTATTCCTTTCGATTTTTTCAACTTGACTCCTATCTCTGTCGACGTTTATCCCTCTCAACTATTTTCGTTCAACCTTTTGCGTTCAACTTTTTTACATTCTGATTTTTTCGTTTTCAGACCTTTTGTCCGGAGAATCAGGAATAAGACATGTATGTATCGTCGGGATTCCGTTGCCACTTAATGTATATCTCCATGTCTGACAACAAAAAACGGCGAAAGAAACAAGTTGGCACGTCAGCATTCTTAAGACACTGCATTACTATCGAAGAGAGCCTGAGATTGCATGAGTTTTCGAGTGCCACCCTCGCGCCAAGCCACGCGATATCCAACAAACGTGTCAAAGTTGCGGAACACTATGCTGCGCATGGAGCAGTTGCTCGACATGGCTAGTGTGCGCGGCTCCATGGTACTACTCTCTAAGATCAACGAAATGATAAGCCTCGCAAAAAAAGCGATGTGCCAATAACGGCATGTCTGCACGACGTCCTTCGAACGCCCACCGCTGCAATGCATTCAAAAGGATCTCGCAAACCGTGAGCAGCCAGCAGCGACCAGCCTATCGTGCTGGCCGCTGCTGGTTGCTCCTCTGTCCCGTTCCTCTCTGAGATCGCGTCTGCACTCGGCCGGGTCCCACGCAATGCGAGTGCGTCACTTTAAGAGGTCGGTCGAGCTTGTAGAAAAGCCCACTTAACTCAGGCCTGCCGTGATCAGATTTAACGACGGAAAAATATAGAATTCGAAGCGTGACCAATTTCGTCTGCGATCAAGGTGTCATGCGCTGAGTTCAGTGAGACAGGAAAGGCAGTTCAGTTAAACTTGTTTTACTTATGCAATTCAAACTAGAAACGAATGGCTCCTGCAGTAATTTCCTTTCACATATTGTGTTGCAAAATCAGCTTAAACCAAACTTTCGGCGGCTGAAGCGTTGGGTCACAGGTCACGTCGACTGGGAACTCTCATTCGCTATGCGAGAACGGCTACAGGAGGCTACCTTTGGCCGCGTTGTGTATGCCACTCCTCTGACGCATCCCCAGAGGTCCATGCATCTAACCGAGGTCCTTCCCGGCATGAAGTATTGAGACCTGTCGGACGTGACCAGCGTGTAATCATAAAGCATGGCTCACCCTCTGGCCGAGTCTTGCGCTGACCGATCGGCGTTTGACCCCGTCCCACGCAGGCTGCTCCGATCTTTGGCTCCGACTTACGCCGACCGATCCGACCATGATCCGACCTCCGACCACAAAAGGAGCCGGCCAGTTTAACCTCTGGTCGTGCCTGACGCTCACCGATCTGACCTTTGTCTTCGTTCGGGGGCGGATCTGACTTTTGATCCCGTCTTACGCCGACTGGTCCGATCCTGGACCTTGACTGATGCCATGATTTAACCTCCGGCCTCGCCTGGCGCCCACCGATCCGATCTTTTAACAGGCGCCCGACTCCAAACGATCTGACCCTTGACCTCTTCTGGCGCGGACTGAGAACGTGACCGGGCGGGCCGAGCGGCGTTGCAGACGGCTGGCTCGCCGTGACCGGCTCGCAGTCGGAGTCCTGACGCCCAAATGTCCAGAACCGAGCGGGGCGGATAAACGGTGGTGACGGCTGCCCGGCCGGAATTGGTCGGCCTTAGCCGACGTAATGATCTGGCGTTTCCAGCAGCCGCAGCGTTAGCGCTACGTCGTCGCTCGTGAAACAATTAGCGTTAGGTTATGTGGGCCCGTACTGCGGCGTAATCAGATGTCGCAGGACGCTATCAGCGGAGGCGTGATGCGCCGCCGGCTCCCGTCCGACGGCCGCGTTTTATCCACCGTTTCATATTCTGAGCAAGGCGCTACACAAAGGAGGCACGGAGACGGTTTGAGCTGGCGCCGTAGCTGTCATAGGCACCAGGCCATCTCACCCGAAACACAAACACGCAACACACTTCCCCACGCTACACAATGGAAACACTCCGGCGCGTTTCGTGGCGCATTTGAAAACTTCTGCGACACAACTCGGGCCCGGTCTCGGTGCTGCCAGAAGGCCGGCAACACACGCGAACATCCCAAACTTCCGCCATTCACCACCGAGGCCGATCTGTTCTGACCTGCTCAGGCGGCAGAACGCCCCCCCCCCCCCCCTCCCCGCTCGGCACCGGTTTGCGGCGGAGCGGCGGCGCGCAGGACAAATCGAGGGCGCCCCTCGCGCTCTGAGCCGACGGCGCCGTACCAATTGAGCCCGTCCATTGCAGCGGGCATTGAGCGGCTCAGCGCTAATGCCGCCGTGGCTTGTGGCGGCCGCGGCTCAGCTGGCAGCCCGGTCAGCCTCCGCAGCGGCAGCCGGGGCCGGGCGGGCCGCGTCAGGCTCGAGCAGCGGCCGGGCGGAGCTGACGCGGGCGGAGCCGGGCGACGCGGCGCCGGGCTCGACGGGCTCTGGGCAGCCGCGCTCCGGTGCAACATGAGCGACGCTGTCGCCGTGACCACCCTGCTCCAGTGTTCCAATATTCGGCCACATGGGTGGCAGGGGTGCCGATATTTGTTCATGCTATACACCCGGGCTTGGGGTTCACTGCCTGCTGCCCCTCCCCTTGTTCAAAATCATGCAACCAACATCAAACAAGACGGCTGTCAACCCAGTATCTAAGTGTCTCAGATTTGGCAAACGGGCTGGGTAGGTCATATGTTTGGGTTCGGGGTCAAGGGGCAACGGATTAGTGCCAACGAACTGTGTGTGTGGGGGGGGGGGGGGGGCGCCGGAGAGCCAGGATAATTGTAGCATAAATTCATATTTCCATCCTGCACACCCTACTGCATGAATTTTAGAACACTGCCCGGCTCACATCGTTTTTTATCATTTTTTGCGCCTGGTGCACGACGGCCAGTTTCATCATGGGATCCCTAGAGTGAAATGGCGCGGAAATGACGCAGTGACAGAACGCCCAATGACGATACAGCGC